TTTTGGGGGACACCACATCTAAATCATAACAACCCATGTAATGGGAAAAAATATTTACAAGCCATGTATTTCATAAGAGATTAATATCCAGAAGCAGAAGGAAGAAGTCATTAGAGAGAGAGAGAGAGAGAGAGAGAGAGAGAGAGAGAGAGAGAGAGAAAATAGGAAGAATAAAGGAAAGGGGGAAAAAATTAAAAGTTGAAAACAAACAAACAAAAATAAATGCAATCTTAAGAGTTTCTTCCAGTAAGTGGAGCTGTGCACTCTCGGCCAAACTTCTGCCCTCAAGATGCATGAAACAATCCCTGTGAGACAGCTTCTCCTCCCCAGCTGGGTGGCTCGCCAATCCTGGTCATGCAGGGCCGTTCTTGGTCACCAGCGGCCCCCCCATCCCCTCCACCCATGATTCTCCAGCCCACCAGGCCCCACTCACTGGTGCCGTTCTCCACAGATCTAGCTACACTCGGGGCCTACAGCCTCCTGGGTGCCCTGTTCTCTTGAAAGACTGGGCACTCTCTCTATTTGCTATTCACCCAGACCCCAAGGTTGTGGAGCAGTGGASCTGGGGGCCATTGGCTTATTTTGCCTAATTCCCTCAGGTAGCCATGCCCCCAGGAGCTTGTGAAAAAGGSCTCGGSTGTCAGCGCTGTGGTCGCCAATTTCACTGTGGAGGGATCCATCCCCCAAACTCTGATGACACCAGTTCTCTGCCATGGTGGACCCTGGTTTYCTTGCCAGGGTGTCCGATGGGAAGGGTGGGTCTGGTCTGTCTCTCCTAAATCCTACCTCAGCTCTCAGTCCGCTGGACCATGGAGGCTCTGTTGGCACCACTCAAAGGATCCTCCAAAGCTCCAAAGTTTTGTTTCTCTACTCTGCTCAAGGGTCTCTGTAGCACTGAGTTGCGGTAGGTTGGTGGCGGGTCGCGAATCAACCAGCCAGTAACTCCACATGCCAGGTGGCCTGGATTCACCCTTACCTGAGCACACTGTGGCCTCTGAGACGCTCAAACTGCTCGCTTAGGTACCACCTCAGCCCAACATTGCAAGGCGTTCCTGAGCAGACAGCATCCAGACATTCTGAAGTCTCTCTGTGCCAGCATAGCTGAGGAGGTCATAGGATTGCTCCTTCCGCACCCACCACCATGTTCCAATGTGGACATTTATTTTTAATTAGAAAGTTACAGATTCTGTTAYTTTGTGCTGTGATAGTAACATATCACAGAAACTTATATTTTACWGTTCAGGAAGCTGAGAGTCCAAGATCCATTAGACAGCATTTGGTGATAACTTTCTTTCCGGGTCATCCCATGGCAGAGGGTATAGAAGGGTAAGGGGGCAGTAACTTATCCTGTTATGAAATCCTATTCCCACCATAACAGCATAATCCACTTATGAGGGCAGAGCCTCATCACCTCAACAAACTTACCTCATAATATTYTTTCAGTGACATTAAATTTCAACGTGACTTTTGGAAAGGACACAGAATCAAATCATAACAGCCTTATTGACATGAAATAAAGATTATAGTTTTATATCATCTAAATTTGGCCTACTGTAAAAAGAATCATAAACAGAGATAACATGTTAGCACATTTTGCATGGTGAAAACATTAGATGAAGAGAGGCACTTTGAAGAGAAGGGAGACCTATAAA